AGCCCCACTGTGACCCATTGTATGTATACAATTGAAAATGTCAATAAAAATAATAATAATAATAATAAAAAAGTCTCACCACAATAGCTTTAAACATGAGTCTCTGAAGTTTCTCACATTATAGTAATTTATGGGCAATTACTGTAATGAAATAGCAATGAAATTTCATTACTCTTGTTATAGTAACATTTTTTTTCACTTAATTATACTTTAGAAACACTTTAGAAATGAAATGCCAGTGCCCCTCCCCCAATTTTGTAATGACTTTTGAACTATGTTTTTATGGATTGCACATCCCTACTAACTAGACATGACAATGATCTATAGCAGGTCGTGTTCTTGTATAGTTAGAGTAATGACGCAGATAATATATGTAATATAGGTAACTGTTCTAGAACTGTATGATTGCAATGTAAGAGTGGGCTTAAACAAGTAATACTTGTTTTTTTTATTGTGTCAGAAGTGACTTGAGAAACTGCAAGTCGCTTCTGGTGTGAGAGAATTGGCCATCTGCAGAGAGATTGCCCAGGAGAAGTCTGTGGGAGGCTTCTCTCATGTCTCCACATGGAAAGCTGGAGCTCACTGCTCTAGTTCGAATCCACTCCAGTTTGAATCTCATTCACAGATTCAAACCACCGATCTTCAGGTCAGCAGTTCAGCCAGCACAAGGATTTAATCCATTGTACTACCGCGGCTCCTAGTTATAGTGATAAAGTGGAAGGAAACTAATATCAGGAAAATGTGGGTGAGTTGTGGATAATAGTTGCTCGATTTTTTAAAAAAAAACAGTATTTTTTTAACAAGATGTGGAAGTGGAAGCTTTGTACTTTAAAATACAAGTTGCACTACAGAAAAGCACAGGTATTGCAGTTGATACATAGAACTGGATTTATACACATACACGTACTTATGTGTTTAATTTTTTAACAGAAATCACTTATGCCCCATTTTATAGCTGGTCAGAGCAGCCCAAATTTAAAGATATACATGAGTAGTCTGTACCTTGTTTTTCTTTCTTTCTGATGTCTCTTTCTAATTTTGTCCCCATTAGGACTTGACAGGAAACTTCTGGGCATTTGGCACCCCGTTCTCCTTCACCCGGTCAGGATTCCAGAGTTGCATGAGGTCTCCATGGAAGAAAATGGTATGCCTCCAATGCACCCTTGGAAGCTACTCGAAAGCTGTATTTTAATTCTTCAACAGTTAATAAAGAAGAATGAACTAAAATGATGCTGGTCGCTTCCAGTGTGGAACACATCTCACCACACTAAAACAGTGGATGTGGCTCTTAATGAGACATGCCGCATTATCACAGGGTGTCTGCGCCCTACACCACTGCAGAAATTACACTGCTTAGCCGGTATTGCACCACCTGACATCCACCGGGAAGTAGCAGCCAATAGTGAAAGGACCAAGGCAGTGACATCTCCAGCTCATCCCCTATTTGGGTATCAGCCAGCATGCCAATGGCTTAAATCTAGAAATAGTTTTCTAAGATCTACAGAGACACCCGCTGGAACTCCTCAGCAAGCAAGAGTCCAAAAGTGGCAGGCTCAAACTCAGAACCTCAACCAATGAGAGACTCCCCCCTGGACACACAGAGGACTGGGCGACTTGGAAGGCGCTGAACAGACTGCGTTCTGGCACTACGAGATGCAGAGCCAACCTTAAGAAATGGGGCCACAAAGCTGAATCCACGACATGCGAGTGTGGAGAGGAGCAAACCACTGACCACCTGCTGCAATGCAACCTGAGCCACATGCACAATGGAGGACCTTCTTGCAGCAACACCAGAGGCACTCCAAGTGGCCAGATACTGGTCAAAGGACATTTAATCAACTACCAAACTCACAAATTTTGTATATTGTCTGTTTGTTTGCTTTGTTCTGTTAGAAATGTAATATAATTGACTGCTTGCCCTGACACGACAAATAAATAACTAAAATGATAAAAGCAAGTAAGCACCCTGTAAAAGTAAAGAATTCACAAATGAAAAGTGCTGATATTAACCACATTAAGAGTGCTTTCCAGACAAAGGGCTTCTACTGTTTAAAGATTTAAAAGTCCTTAGGCATCTATACCATCTTTTTTTCCTTTCATTGATTTTCTTTGGTGAGAAATTGGATGAAACAAGGGACTGTTCGGATAAGGGAGTCGTCTGCTGTAAGATTCCACAAATAAGAGTGTGATTCTATATTAAAAGCCTTATCTGGATGCACCCACTGTGCATTCAAATCACACAGTATATCAATTGCTTTGTTAAATAGGGCTTAGCTTTAACCACTTCTGGCTAGATTGTACATAAACAAATCACATGCCTATATGCACTAAGTATTTTTTTCATATTTATTATTTAGCACACATCACTTTGCATATTTGTTTGCATGTTATGTATATACATGTTTTCTGACTAGTTGTAATCTTCCACACATTTATTGGAGAATATGTTTCACTAAACTCAGTAGAACATATGTCTGATCTATATACGATTGTGCTGTTAGTTCATTAACTCCTCCTTATAGAAACAAATGTTTCTTCCAACTCCATCTGTGTTTGCATGTTCTGACTGATCAAAAAATGCCAGATGTGCTGTTTGTCAACTGAAAGTCCTTTGGTTCCAGGCATCGTAATTGGTGCAGCCACCCACTTGGCTGAGCTGAGAGACATCCTATTGAGCCTTGTTCCCGAACTCCCAGCGGAGAAGACAAAGATATACCGGACGCTCTTGAAGCAGCTGAGGACTTTTGCTGGAGAACAGGTCCGGAATTTGGCTGTAAGTGTTCCACGTTATTATTTTTCCCAGAGTGCAGGTTGCCTCCACAAACCTTTCCTGTATTCCAGATCCTTTTTGGATTAAAAAGATATGCTGAAAGATTCACCCAGATGCTATTAGTTCATCATGTCACTTGCCCTGGCACAGCTACTCAGTATCTGTCTTGGGCTGCCTTCTTTCAATCCTGAAACTGTCCAAAGAATCACTGAAGGACAATGTGCGGCAATGACAGAGGGACCACAGGAGACAGCTGTCCATGAGAATCCTACTTTGCCTTATCATGCTCCCATGATCTTCCCCAAAACTATGCCATCAAAAACAACTGCTGACATAATGCTTACTTGAATTAGAGCCCAGGGCATAATGAGGAAGCTGCTTGTGTATTTCAATCCACCTGTCAGCCCAGGTCAAAACTTCATGGCTCAATTATTGGATCTACGAAAACCAGAGATCTTATAACTTTCCTATTTTAAACTGCAGAAGGAAGTTTAACTGCCAATTATATTTTCAAAATGTTTAAATATCCTGGGTTGGACTCTAGTTGTCTACCTTTCATAGCCGATTGCCATAATTAATATTTTAGCAATCTGCCAAAGAAAAAAAGATGAATGACATGGACAAAGAAAGGTATGGAACACACCTATGAGATCCTTCTATCCTTCTCCTCACTAACCTATAGTTGATGATATGTCAGAATGACAAAATGTGCAGGAAGACGTCATAGCACATTTAAGTGTGTTTTACTGGGAAACATAAGCCTTCTTCCAAAAACAGAAGAATCTGGATTGGAGAGATGCTGCTGAGTCTGTTTTGACTGAATGTTCATTGTAACTCTCGACCAGGGTGTGATCAGGTCACTTGTGACAGATCAGTTTCAATACATATCCTTTTACACACCATTTTTCCTATCCCTTGCTCAAACTTATTGAGGTTTTTTGGGGGCAAATAAGTTTTATTTTGTTTTTAGAGAAGAAGAAAATAACTCAAATAAACAGTAAAAGGAGGGGATGAGGAACAAATATAATGTTGAACAAATCTGTGTTGTTTATTTGGTGAGATAGACATTAATTTGAAGATCTAGAAATCTTTAATCTTGTTTTGCTCTGTGATAGGATGGGTATACTGTAAATATTTATCTTTCTTTGTCAGTCTTTAGGAGGACACATTGTAAGCAGAGGATCAGTCTGGGATCTGAACCCTGTTCTGGCAGCTGGAAACGCTGTTCTCAATCTGGCATCAATAGGTAAACGGCATTGCTCCTCAACCTTGTATATATTCCTGTATTAGAAGGAAAGGAAAATTATTACATTTGTGATAGTATAGTCCAAGTAACAATAGGAGAGTAAACATTGACAGAGATTTATTGGGTTGTCTTCTGCTACATTTTTTTTCTTTGATGGTAGAGATTAGATCAAAAGACACACATGCCCTAAGTACATATTTTTCCTTTTTAGATGGGATACGACAGATTCCTCTGAATGATGAATTCCTCACAAAAGTGCCAGAGGCAGATCTCTCCCCAATGGAGGTCATCGTTTCCGTTTTCATTCCATTCTCAAAGGAAGTAAGTGTGTGTATGTTTCCCTTCTCTTTTTCTCCCTAAGTAAACCACAATATGCTTTCTTTGTTATGGTATGAGTTGTTGTCTAAAAGTTTTGTATCAAAATTGCTAACATTAAAACCAACAGTGCAAACAAATGAAATAGGCAATACATATTTCCAAGCAGAAGTGTTAATCCATAGGAGATTGGGTCACATATATATTGTTTAGAAATACATAATTTGAAGGGAGTCCCAGATATTGAGGATGGGGGCATTGTATCTCAATACGTTTATTTATCTCCATCTTTGCTTGTTTATTACATTTATACTTAGATAGCTAAGCTTAGAGAGCTCCCTTCCTGCATGACTTGCTTGCAACTATTACCATTCAAAAGAGAGAACTTAGGAGTACATACAAGAAGCCTTTTAAGTTTTTCAAAAGGAGAAAAACCTCTGTGATGATTAATGTTTATTTCTTCCTCTCGGGATGAGGAGTGATCCACTACAACTGAGTTTAACATCTGTGTACCAACTAGGTAAGGCAAGAACTCATGTTCTTTTCAAATGTGATGCAGCAGTTGCCATTGTGTCCCAGATCCAGGATGAAATGAGTTCTGCAAAATGGGGGACTGCATTGTAAACATGCAGGACTGCTGAAAAATGCCTCAAGGACATGACTGGGCAGCAGAAAATTTGGGGGGGGGGGTGGCAAAACCATGAATAATTAAATTAATGGATGCCAAACCACAAATGTGGGTTCTACCTTTATTTGTATTTAGTGTGGCCCTTGAAGAAGGTCATCTTTGATAAAGGCCAAAACATGTTACGTTTTTTAAATAAATAAGAAAACACAATGATGATCGGGTCTATGGCACAGCTGGCTGGTAGTCAGCTGCATTAAGATCACTACTGACCAAAAGGTCATGAGTTCGAAGTCAGCCCAGGTTGGAATGAGCTTCCGACCAATTCTGTGTAGCTTGTTGTTGATCTTTGCAACCCGAATAACAGTTGCATCTGTCAAGTACGAAATTTAGGTACCACTTACATGAGGAGGCTAATTTAACTAATTTATGAGGCCATAAAAAATCTCCAACAAGCATGCGGGGAATGAGGAAGTATTTCATCAGTGTCACAGATGGACGGTGTAGCAACAGCTCCCCTGGTGGCCAGAAAAAAGTTGGAATATTAAATAGCCTCTCTGTCTGTCTATATGTGTTGTTTGTCTATGGCATTGAATGTTTGCCATGTATGTGTACATTTTAATCCACCCCTGTGGGGTGAGAAAGGTGGTATATAAATACTGTAAATAAATAAATAATAAATAAATCAGTACATGAAGCTCAATTTCCTTTCTCACTTTAAGAAATAAAATCCACAAAAATACAGATAGTTCAAATAACAGTAATAGTTTGTAGTTAACAACAATATTATGTTACCAGTACCCCACAACACTGAATAGAGAGAAAATAAAAGAGAACCAATAGTAAAAGAGACAATCTCAATATTCTCACAGAAACACAGAGGAAATCAAAGATAGAAACAGAAGAAACTGGATATGTGCCTGAAGACACTCAAAAGATGATTTTTTTAGATTAGTTTTAAAAAGCCAATGTGTTTTAACCTTTTTATGCTATCAAGGCTTTTCTGATGGACTATAGAAAATCATAAGATCTATAGCTCTGAAAGAGGTCTTGGGAATACACACAAGTCAAAAAGCATTGGGCTTCTTCACCAATAGATTTTTTTTAGAATTATCAGACATGCCTTCAGTTTTACTTTGGATTTCATTAGATGTTCTCCATTTTCTTCTTCCTTTGCCATCAAATAATACAACAATATGCTTCAGGCTACTTTTGGCTCTCAGCGAGTTTCAAATTTCATATGGCTACACCACAGGCATCCATTTGTCACATCTCACCAATGGGTCATGAACAATAGGGTGGCTGATGTAAAACAGGAATGAATATGCTGTTCTTTGGATGGTTGTATAGCAGAAAATTCCAGCAAATGGTTTCTTGTTGTGCTGGCTAAAAATGATGAAATATTACATCTATTACATCTGTCATGCCTCCTACATCTTATGCAAAACTATTATTTAAAACCTAGGGGTTCTCTTCTCTTTCATATCCTTTGCCTAACAAGGAACTAGTTTTAATATTGACCATTAGAAAGCATCCGTGCCTAGCTCACTTGCCTTCATGCTATTTCCAGGGTTATGCTTCCAAAACGCAAGTGTGAACTGGCTGTGGGCTTCCATGTCTCCAACTAGAAACACCTTCTAGATTGGAAAAGGGTACACTATCCCTAGGCTGTGCTGCTTTTCGGTGGAAAAGGAAATCAGCAACACAGTTCTCCTATGAAAAAAAAAAACATTTTCTTCTTTCCTCTGCCAGGATGAATTTATCTCAGCCTTCCGACAGGCTGAGCGTCGGAAAAATGCCTTGTCGGTGACAAATTCTTCCATGAAGGTCCTCTTCCAGCCAGGCACTGATGTCATTGAAGACCTGGCTATTTTTTATGGGGGCATTAGTGGTACAACTGTGAGTGCAAGAAATTCCTGCCTGAAACTCATTGGAAGGTATGGAAACGTTAACTTTCATTAAGGCAAAGTTGGTTCCATTAAGGCAAGGCAACATCAAGCAAAGTCCCAGTTCTGGTCAGGCCAAGGTGAGGGTTAATTTCATGGACAACCTCACTGGGAGATGCTCAAGTTTGCCACAGATAAGAACAACATTATCCTGGGGTTTTCTGGGTGAAGTCCATGGAGCGTGTCTGTAGCAACAAGGCGTTCTTAAGCCAGATGGCATGATTTCTGGGCCAGAGTGAAGAGACAGTTCCATCTTGTCTCCTGTGTTATGCTAATAATATAATACAATGTAATGTAGTATATTATATTGTACATACATATAATATTTACAATATTATAATCTAATATAATGTAATACTACTAATAATATGATATTATAATTATATATTTTCTATTACATGTAATATTACTAATACTATTACAATATAATGTGTGTGTGTGTGTGTATGTGTATATATATATATATATATATCTTGTAAGCTGCTCTGTGTATCCCCTTCGGGTTGAGAAGGGTGGCATAAAAATGTCGTAAATAAATAAATAAATAAATAAATTCCAGTAAATCCATTTGGAAAAGCTTATTCCTATCTCATCCACTCTACCTTTATCTACACTACTAATAAGTGTCTTTCACAATATCCTATGTCCCCCCAGAAACTGGAATGACTACTTCCTTGATGAAGCTTGTAGGCTAATTCTTGAAGAAGTTGTTGTGTCTCCTTCGGCACCAGGTGGGAAAGTGGAATATCGGCGCTCGCTGCTTGTCAGCTTCTTCTTCAGGTTCTACTTGGAAGTGCTGCACTGTTTAAAAACGATGGTAAGGCGAATGATACCCTCCTCGGTACATGTTCACTTCATGACCTTTATTTATTTATTTATTTATTTGCTGCATTTGTTGACCGCCGTTCTCAGCCCTAGGGCGACTCACGGCGGTGTACAACATATAAAAGACAATTTACAACAAAGCAAAAACAAAAAATCAACATATCACTCATACACAATAATATAATTACACTAAAATAATCCGCTCCGTCTTATCGTAGAATCATAACCAAACTCGTAATCCATATTCCGTTCCAGTTGTCATTACCAGTTAATGTAACACTCAGTTAAACCTTTCTTTCTCAATTTCTGGAACTGGAAACTAGCCATCCTAAATCCTTCTGGGATCTGTGTTCTATAGTTATAGAGACCAAGAGGACTTGGCAAATTGTGACTATTCAATTGCTTCTGGTGAGAAGGCTGAGAGATGCTTTTGAGTGAGAAGTGATTTTGAGTTAAAGATAATTATAACAATATTCTGACTATTGGGGGAAAATATCCTCCAGAGCTCCCATCAGCCCAAGCCAACATGGCCATTGACCAGGATTTATGGGAGTTAACTGTAGCCCAAATCATCTGGAGGACACCAAATTGGGGAAGGCCATGCTAAACCATATTTCAGCATCTTAATAACTAAATGGCTTTTCCCTGGGCTCATAGGTTTCCCGCTCCCTTCTTCTTGTAGTGGGGCAGAAAGGAGGATATTGACCTTCCCATTTCTGTTTTAGATAACTGCAACTTGCTCTGTTGCCCTATTCCAAAGATACCTTGGTTTATCTTACTGATGAGTAATAGAAGTAAACCTCAGACACAATTGATGGAGTTGCCATCTATTTGAGAACTCTAGTTTCAATAAACTACAATTAAGAGTTCAGAAAACACTCTGGTTTTTAACCTGTGGGCCTGTGGGACCACCAGTGGGCTGTGAGGACAAAAATCTGGTCCACGAGCCTCCTTCCTTTTCATTTATTTTATTTTATTTATTTTATTTTATTTTATTTCTGCTCCGGTTGTGCCACCTGCCACTCCTTCCATGTCACTGACTATAGCATATGTTCTGTATCAGAAATTAGAGCTGATGTGGTCTATCCAATTCACTTTTTTGAATCAGCACCCCAAACTGAAACTAAAGTTGATCAAAAACTAATTAGTAATCCTTTTGGTACTAATGTTGAAGAGTGGTCCCTGGTCAAGTGGTCCCTGGTCAAAAAAAGGTTGGAAACCACCGTTCCAAATTGTGTTTAATCTAAATTAGAAGTGAAAGTACCTGAGAAAACTTTCACTCATGCCACACTGAGAAGTTGAGAAAAGGGAGAAGCTGTAAGTCAATGTAGAAAGCTTAGTCTTCTTCTCATAATGCTAAACTGTAATGTATTGTGTGCATATGAATGAGGCCATTCTGGTTTGAGACATATGACTGTTCCTCACAAAAGTCAATGTTCAAAACGTTATACCAAATGTTGTTGAAATATAAATGTTGGTAGAATAAGAATGAGTTCTTAAATTACCTTCTTACAGTATCCCTTCCAATATCCTGACTTGCCAAAGGAATACATGAGTGCCTTAAGCGAGTTCAAAGAGAAGCCACCGCAAGGCAAGCAAATATACCAGGTCAGTGGAGTTTGTTTCGTAACAAGTAAGAATGGTGCCAGCTATCTTTATAGGCATTTAAATTAGTGCCCTTTATATTATGTTGTATCGTCCTTCTCTAATACTAATACAATGGCAGGAAAAAGTTTGTGGGTCCTAATGTTAAATGTGAATTCCATATTTTATTTTATTTTTGGATGATAGCCTTAGGAAATTAAAATCAATACTTTTCTAAATGTCCAACGGAACTTATAGTTACCTATTCTCAGTCATGTGATATAAAATTGCATACAAACTATGAGCACATGAGAGTCAGGGTAAGTGCAAAATTATGTACATTTCTGATTGTATCAGTGAAATGAAAGGAAATAGAAATGGATGCTTAAATTCTGGTGAGAAGGCTGAGAGATGGTGTTGAGTGAGAAGGCAGGAACAAGGCACACCTAAAAACTTTCAGGCAATCAAATGCTAATCAAGGTGGCCAATTGAAACATTCCCACCTAGCTCCAACAGATAAGAGTTCTCCCTCCCACCTTGGACCTTCCACAGATATATAAACCCAATTTTCCTAGTTTCCAACAAATCTCACAACCTCTGAGGATGCTTGCCACAGATGCAGGCAAAACATCAGGAGAGAATGCTTCTAGAACATGGCCATACAGCCCGAAAAACCTACAACAACCCAGTGATTCCAGCCATGAAAGCCTTTGACAATACAAAAAAAAATTATGCTAACCAACCTTGGGATGGGAATGTGATTGTTTGCTGGATGGTTTGCCATTATTCCTAAACATACAAACAGATCTATTGAAGAATGAATGCAGAAAAAGAAATTCTATGTTGTAGAATAGCCTAGAAAAAAGTCTAGGCTGAAACTGTATCATGTTATGATAGGATCTCAAATTAGTTGTGTAAGCTAAGAAACCTTCAAATGTTCCAAAACTGATATGAGAGAAAGAGTTACAGGAACAGAAGTCATTGCTACTCAAGGAAGTGCCACTAGATGGGTACTAATTTAAAAAAATAGGAGCTCAGGTACAGTACTCAGACTGATCTGTGGAGAATTTGGGCCAGGTTTTTTTGGTTGATTTTTTAAACTAAAGTTTCTAGACTTATACATGATTATATAGAGTACATTTTCTTCACCACTGTACAGGATATGATGGGAAATCATTTCTGATTTTATTTGTCATTTACAAGTGAAAAAAGAGGGATTTGTTAACATTACCGGCTAGCTGAAGATAGTTGTGATTCAGATCCTCTGATATCCATCTGTCTAATATATGTTATGTATATTTGTGCATTTAAGATTACATTTATAAATCACAAAGGCTTCCAGAGTGGACTACTTTTTTTTTTTTAAGAAAACCAACATAAAATCTAAAAATCCCTAAATTAAACAAAATATGCCATTCCTCCTTGCAGTGGAGATTTTTTTCCCATTAATTTTTTTATTTATTGTAGCTTTAACATCTTCGGTATTTAAACATTCTTATACTTATCACTTTCCATTAACAATTGTACAGAACATGTATGTCTTGATACCTATAATATTTCATTCTCCTGCTTCATTACATCCAATCACCCAGTGCTAACCCTTCACCCCCGACCAGCCAATTACAATACTTATTTCCAAAAATCAGTTGTTTCTATTACAGGTTTGGTCCCCTTACCTTCTATATATACATATTCTATCAATTTCCCCCAAATCTTCCCAAAATCATCTTTTTTTGATAATCCTCTTTTAACCTTAATGTTTCCTGTCAGTTTATCGTTTATTGCGATGTCCCAGATCTCCCTATACCACTCTTCCAATTGGCACTCCCCTCCTTCTTTCCATTTTTTAGCTATTAATAATCTTGCTGCTGTTACCAGATTGGCAATTAATTCTTTTAGTTCTTTTGGTATTTTAACATTGTCAATAAATGACAGCAGTGCTATCTCTGGTGTTCCTGTTATCTCTATTTGGGTGATTCTTCTTATTTCTTGAAATACATTTTCCCAAAATTTTTGAACATATTTGCAAGACCACCACATGTGTATATATGTGCCAGTTTCTTGACAGCCCCTCCAGCACTGCTTAGAATGTTTCTTGTCAATTTGATTTAATCTGATTGGTGTGAGGTACCATCTCCACACCACTTTGTAATAGTTCTCTTTTATTCTTATTGACATATTTTTTAATATACGCATATTCCACATTCCTTTCCAGTTTTGTGGGTGTATTACTTTATTACAATCTAACTCCCACATTCTTTTAAGGTGGTCCTCCTCCTGGACCCCTTCCAACAACATTTTGTAGATATCACTTGTTATACCTTTTGTTCTTTCTTTTCCTTCTTTACTCCCCCTTTGGCTAATCATTTCTTCAAATTTGGTAAATTCTCTCTCTCCTTTATATTTCTTTCTTATTTCCCTTAACCATCTTTCAAGTTGTAGTACTTTAAACCATCCAATGTTCCCTCCTAACTGGACCTTTATCTCATCTATATTTTTCATCTTTGATTCCCAATCTTTTAATTTCGTTATTCCTTTTTCCTTGAATTCACTTTCCAACTCCTTTTTGAGATTTATGGGGAAATTATTTGTAATCAGCACCGGTGTTAATGGGGATATCGAGGGTATTAATTTTTCTGGAGATTACTGGAGAAGTATGTGTTGAAATGTCCGTCTGTTGCACCCTGCTTGACAAGAGAGCATCCCCTGTTATTTGTAGTTGAAGAGGCTCAGAAAAGTTTGGAAACTTTTATGGTCATAACAGTAGTGCCATGATAATAAATGTATAGGATTTGTGAATATAAATCGGTTATGGATCCATAGCAGCCACTATCTTTGAAATTCAAACTCCCAGTGATATAGAATGGTTTTTAAGTGCATCAGAGTATTTATAAGACAATGGCCCAATACTAGAGAACTATTACTGGAAAACACCTTGCCTTGTGTCCACATCAATTGGGCCTATGAAAATGGAAATCCCTGGACTGATTGACTTCCTACTGTGTCACAGGATGTAAACCCTTATCAGCTTCCTCAGGACCCAGTTGGGCGTCCCATCATGCACGAGTCTGGTATTAAACATACCACTGGTGAAGCTGTCTATGTCGATGATATTGCTCCAGCAGATGGACAGCTCTACATGGCGGTGGTCACCAGCACACGAGCACACGCAAAGATACTGTAAGTATTTAAAGGGAACAATTTTTTTGAGTTTCAGAATGCGATCTAGATAAAAAGAAGGAAGAACCAACTCCATTTGAAATTAGACCCCTTCCACACAGCTGAATAAAATCCTATACTTTCTGCTTTGAACGGGAATATATGGCAGCGTGGACTCAGATAACCCAGTTCAAAGCAGATATTGTGGGATCTTCTGCCTTGGTATTCTGGGTTATATGGCTGTGTGGAAGGGTCCTAAGATTACAATGCAATTTGGAGGTACCCAGTGGGTTTATTAAGTGCATCTGGTCCATAAGACTTCTGTATGGAAGTGTGGACTGGCAGTTGGGTGACAGAGATGTTTAAAAGGTGAACATGAAAGACAATGAATCAGCTGAGAAATATGGATCAGGTAGACTTAGTTCCATCTACACTGCCATATAATGCAGTTTGAAATTGCATTCTATGGCAGAGTAGTTTATTAGAAAGGCTATAGGACAAGGGGTGGAGAAATTCAGTTAAGGGCAGAAATAAATTAAATTAAGAACAGTTAGATTCAGCGTAGATTATGAGAAAAACATGAACGAATCAGTGAGATTGTATTTATTTGTTTGTTTATTTGTTTGCAGTATTTGTATACCGCCCTTCTCAACCCCAAAGGGGACTCAGGGCGGAATCAGTTTGGATTGTGATGTGTTAAATAAGTAACATTAAATATATATATAATTGGCATTTATTTTTTGCATATGATATGGGGGTGGGAGTAGCTGATGAAATACAAGATACTTCTGGTACCAGTCATTTTGCATAAGGGATGCTAAACCTGTGTTAATTACTCCATACTTTGATTTATTATTTTTTACATTTTAATTTAAAAATCTACATAGTGTAATAGCCCATGTTGTTATCCCTATTGATTGCTTAATAAAGAAATCACTTGCAGGGGGGGGGGGGAGTAACATTAAGAACTAAGTCTTGAAATTCTGTAAACAAGCAATCTTTAGCTGTATATTGAACTTGTGTTTGATAGATCATTTTTATTATACACATGTGCCTCTGGGACCACTTACTTACTTACTTACTTACTCAGGCAATTTCTCGTTGGACGAGTAAGATGGTCTTCCATGATGGGATTCGTAGGTGGCTGTGGAGCCCTATTCTTTACCTGCATCTTCTCCCAAAGTGAAGGCATTGGTTTCCAGGTGGAAGGCGGTCCCGGTCGGGGTTGGCTTGACGCGCCTCCCTCCTGACACGTTTCTCTCTTTCACCCTCCACTCGTGCCGCCTCGAATTCTGCAGCACTGCTGGTCACAGCTGACCTCCAGCTGGAGCGCTTAAGGGCCAGGGCTTCCCAGTTCTCAGTGTCTATGCCAGAGATTTTAAGGTTGGCTTTGAGGCCATCTTTAAATCTCTTTTCCTGTCCACCAATGTTCCATTTTCCGTTCTTAAATTCAGAGTAGAGCAACTGCTTTGGGAGATGGTGGTCAGGCATCCGGACAACGTGGCCGGCCCAGCGGAGTTGATGGCAGAGGACCATTGCTTCAATGCTGGTGCTCTTTGCTTCTTCCAGGCTGCTGACATTTGTCTGCTTGTCTTCCCAAAAGATTTGCAGGATTTTCCGGAGGCAGCGCTGATGGAATCGTTCTAGGAGTTGCATGTGACGTCTGTAGACAGTCCACGTTTCGCAGGCATATAGCAGGGTTGGGAGGACAATAGCTTTATAGACAAGCACCTTGGTATCCCTACGGATGTCCCGGTCCTCAAACACTCTCTGCTTCATTCGGGAAAATGCTGCACTTGCAGAGCTCATGCAGTGTTGTATTTCGGTGTCGATGTTGACTTTGGTGGAGAGGTGGCTGCCAAGGTAGCGGAAATGGTCAACATTTTCTAATGTTACACTATTAAGCTGTATCTCTGGGACCACTTCTATAATGCTATTAGCATGCTTGTGGTGGCAAGGGCAGTGGTACCCAGAAATGATACTATTAAAATACAGTATCACACAGAAACCACAAGGATTTCTCAAAAGCCCTCACATGTAGATCCATAGCAAGAGGGATACTTAGAAGTCCTCGCGTTTAGTGGCAGTGATGCTATAGTTGGAACTATGGCACTTAAAATGGCATCAAAGTGACACATTTGTAATGTAAACACCCTTGCTATTGTAAAATTTGAAACCAGACAACTTGTTTAGATTCATGGTGTCTACTTGTTTAATGTCCTGTTCGTTGGCAATTTCAGCCTCAAATTACCTATTTCTAATTGCAGGACTATGCATTTCATCTAATCATTCCCATCCATTACCGAATAGGAGAGTTTGCTTTTATTTTTTATCCTTTCCATTTTAAACAATAAGCAGGCCCATATATTCACCAATTCATCTAACCCTTAGAATACACCCTTTTTAATGCCCTTTGCTTTTTCAGATCTATTGATGTATCAAATGCTTTGGAAGAGCCGGGGGTAGTTGCTGTGGTAACAGTTGATGATATTCCAGGAGAAAATGGTGATAAAGATGAGAAAGTGTTTGCTGAAGATGAGGTACATCTTCATTTGGGCTTTTTGTTCAACTTGGATCAAACCCCCATTGAGTTCAGATAGAAAAGTATGGAATTGTCTCCTAAATCTATTTTCTCTCTCTGTCAATTCCTGATTATTCTGTTTAAATGATTTCAATTAAACCAGCAGAACACAGTGTTTGGGAGGAACAAGCTAACCAGTTCCATAGAAGGAAAATAATCGCTCATTGTAGCTGCGACCATCACTGCAGGTCTTTGCTGTGAAATGTTGAAGGGCTCCATTTAACACTGCATGAGCCAGTTTCCACCTTGTCCACTGCTTCACAGAGGAGAGTTCCTCTAAATGTATAGCCAAGTCCAAATCTGGTTTAAAGAGCAAGAACTGTGAACAAGGGAAAACAGAAGAGGTCTCAAAATTGCCCCTTGAACAACAAAATTGGACAACAGACAGATCAACTGATCAAAATTCTTTCTGTGACATTCTCTAAATCAGGGGTCCTCAAACTTTTTAAACAGAGGGCCAGGTCACAGTCCCTCAAAGTGTTGGAGGGCTGGATTATAATTGGGGGAAAAACATGGATGAATTCCTATGCAACCTGCACATATCTTATTTGTAGTGCAAAAAACACTTTACAACAATACAATAATTAAAATGAAGAACAATTTTAACAAATATAAACTTACTAGTATTTCAATGGGAAGTGTGGGCCTGCTTTTGGCTGATGAGATAGGATTGTTGTTGTTGTTGTTGTGTGCTTTCACGTAGTTTCAGACCTAGGTTGACCCTGAGTTAGGGCGGGGTAAATGACCTTGGAGGGCCATATCAGGCCCCTGGACCTTAGTCTGAGGACCCCTGCTCTAAATTATAGCAAACACCGAGAAATTAGCATCATTATATATTATTAATCTATATTATTTAAACAAGATATATGAATGATGTGTATAATATATCTCTTCTCTTTGTGTATGGTGCAATTCTTCTCTTTTGGTATGTCTATTGTAAAGATCCCTTACCTTGCTAGCCAGGGTGGCAGGGCCAGGAAAAGTCAGGCTAGGTAGGTTAGATTAGGAAAGGCCTGGCAGAGTGCTGTTGGAGCCATTTTGGAGCAGGGAAAAGCTCCAGGGCAGAAGGGGGAGTGGTTGAGGCCTGTGCCAGCCCAGCAACAGCTAGGATTGGTTTAGAGAATAGGGGCGGAGTTAGCCAGAAGGAGGGAAAAGAGAGCAGATAGTTTGCCAGTTTTAGATCAGTTTTAGAGTTTAGAGTTGAGAGCCGTTCTGAATAGTGAGCAGTTGGAGTTCTGTGAGAGATTAGAAGGCTTTAGATTGACTAGGAGTCTCTGTTTTAGAATAGGCAGTTTGCCTTTAGTCTGCACAGACCAGTAGGCTGTGGCAGACTGAGATTACAGCTATTTTTGAGGAAAATAGCTGGGTTCTGTGTTTATTGAAACTGTAACTAAGAAAGAACATTCTCTCAAGGAACCAATACGCGTATAAGAAGCAAGAACTCTTTTATCTGTAACCATCAAGCCTCAGTACCTGCATTCACGTGTTATTCAGTATTTGTAATCAATAAACTCTTTCTTATTGTTTTTACAAGAAAAGCCTGAGTCAAGTTCATTTTTTTGGGTTTTAATCCTTTTTTTTCCTAAATCAACCTCTCCTGTTTTCCCCTCAGAGAAAGCCCTTGATTAGATACAGTCATTGGTGGAGTAACAAGCTTTTTATTAATTTAAAACAGCCTGATAATATTTTAAATAACTAGAGGGTTCGTGATTTCTTTAGTTTGGTGGCAGCGAAAGTTTTACACAACGTGACATCCCCTCAAACCCTACAAAAGCCTCTTTTTAAGTTATTATAATTGGTTCTGCAGTGGAGGGATTTCTTTGATTGTTTCCCCCTGCATTGATAACCCACGAAGGTTCTTTATATTGGGTCTTAGAGGTGGGATATTGGTTTATCACCCATACCTCTAAGACTTTCTTTATATCTATCATAGCCCTCATGCATAGATGTCATTGCCTGACCTCTGCTGATCTGTTCACTGTAGAATGCACCAGGAGATCTAGCTTCTGCTTAATCCCACAATAATAAAATCCACCATAAAATCCACACGTTCACAAGCAGCTTTCAGCACTTCGGCGGTTCTTATCTTTATTGCCTTATTGAAGTAATTTACAGCTATATACACAAAGCACTGCCAGAGACAGTTCACACAAGTCCGGCAAGGATTAATGGTGCCGAGGGAAAGAACAACTATCAGCAAAGTTCTCCCGCCTACATACCAAAGCAGTGACATATTTTCGGTTACATCAATGGAAGCTAGCAAAGTTCCAAAGTGACTCTCTGCAATGAAACTTCACTTTGTGCATTTAACCCATTGCTCTACTGAAAAGCTTCACACATGCTAGCTTTAAACTACCAATTGAAAAAAATCACATTACACACACATAGTTCTAACATAATAAAGCCACTCAGTTTCATGTTGTTTGGTTCTTATGTAGGTGATCTACATTGGAGACATTATCTGTGGTATAGTTGCAGAGACCTATGAATGTGCAAAGAATGCCAGAAGCAAAGTGAACATAGAGTATCAAGATCTGGAACTGATTCTGACCATTGAGGTAAAACCCAGTGTGTGTTTGTGAAGATTTGTGGTATTTCTTTTGTATTCCGCCTGCCTTAGCCAGTGGTGGAAATAAGATGAACCTTACAAGTTCAGAACAAGGGCAAATCTAGTTTAGCATGCTATTCCTGACCAGCCAGATTGTGTTCATTTAACTAAGAAGCCCTCCAATAAAACATGAAGGCAACAGGCCTCCACTGTGGTTGGCCTTCTTAGAAAGTGATTCCATATACCCACCATACTTGGCAATCATGACCTCAATAAATGTGCCTAATTCACTTTTGGAGATATCCCAGCCTGTAGCCACCACTATATCTTATGGCATGGTTCCAAAACAAACTGAGGTTTTTGACTGGTGTTATATTGTTGATTATTTTCTGCAGATGAGTTAGAATTCACCTATTAAAAGGAGAAACAAAACATGTCCCTATCAAACCTCTACAAATTATGTATAGTGTTTTAGAAATCTGGGGTCTTTCAGTCCTAACTTTCCTCCCTCTAGAAAAGTGCTAACATTTCCATACAAGGAAACGGTTGTGATCTCTTGTTTGTTTCCATTGCCCCTTTTCCTCCCCTCCAACAGAGGGAAAATTTCTACAGCTATGTGCAAAATCACATCGCAAGCACAAGAAAATTGTATATTTAGATTTTGTTGGACTAGCAGACTCATCAGCAAGGTTCTTCAGGCTAGCCACACCTTGAGATAAATTGAATTTAGTACCTCATCAGATGGAGATCTAGAAGCCAGGGGACAGTGGGGGGAAACTGTGGGGCAGCACCCAGCTTGCAACCTCTTACCATGGTTGGTTGTGAGCTGCCATCTCATGACATTTCACGGCTGACCCCGGCTTCTTCCTGTGTTCCCCCCAGCTTCTTCAATGAGGATGCGGGTAGGGCTCCCTGTTAGCGAGCCGCCAGCATGCTGCTAGGACTGAGCCCAATGGAGCCCTGCCAGAAGTATCCCTGTATCATATGATGGGCTCGAACAGACTCTCTCCCAGCAGCATGCCAGCAGAACACTAGGATGGGAAAACACACATCTGTTGAGGTCATTAGAGAATAATGCTAGCCAACACGTATTTTGGTGTCCCAAATTTTGGCTCAATTTCTGGGTACCTGCTGCTATAGTTCCCAGAAATTGCACTGAATTTCCCCTTTCAGCTCTAGATTTTGAGATACGGAACATATGCCATATACGAGTCTTCATCTGCTTGCCCATAAAAAAATCATGATAACCGTATCTAAGAAACTAAGCTGATGTGGTCTATCCAATGCAGTTTTCTAAAACAATACCCCCAAATAACTACAGGAACAGGCCTAAAAACCAAGACACCAAGTTTTGTTTTGCTTTTTGGTTGGACTGTGTGTGTAATCATTTGAAATCAGGGAATGCAAAAGTAACATCTTCGTACAAACAAGTCAACTGCTATATTAACTCATAGCCTGTAGGAGTTTAAATTTTAACAAAGTAACTTTTAAAAATTATGCTCATGTCTTGTACACTTTACACAATTCAGTGTACAGGAAAAGAGCATATTGTCCAGCTCATGTTAAGCAATGAGCTTGGTGAAGACATAGTGGTGAAGACAAAGATCAATCGTGGTCATAGCAGCCGTTTAGGTACTGTTCCATTATCCCAGAGGAGGCCACAAAGAGGTGCTAGAGAGAGAAGGATAGTGTATTTTACAGGGGCGGGGGAATTGAAAGAGAAAAGCCATTTCCCCCATTTTCACTATAATAATGATAATAATAATAATAATAATAATAATAATAATAATACTTTATTTATATACCGCTCCATCTCCCCGAGGGGACTCAGAGCGGTTCCCAAGTAACATCACAAAACATACAGAGTAAAAACAACATAACCATAAGATTAACAAACAAAATATAAGCATAACAATTGTTGCCATAAAACACATATATTAAAGGAATCCTGCCTGTTCAAGGCAATTAAAAATTTAAAAGGCCGGGCCAAGATTTGTGCAAGCCCAAAAATTCTAGGGGGGCTGGGAATTAAGTGCAATGTTATGGCAAGAAACAATAATATTATGTACGGGTCTGTGGCTGTTCATTCTGGGACCGATTAGAGGAAAGAATCTGGGTAACTGGTAGGAAGAATAAGGTCATATTTCCCCCTCCCAACTTCCAATGTTATAAACAACGGTTGTTTCCATGACAGGGATATGGGTGGGGGGAATAACAGGAAAACAGGAGGAAATTGTTTCCTGCTTCAACCCCCATAAAATGGATTATTCTTCTCTTTCTAGCTCCCCCTTGTGGCCTCCACCCAGATAATGGAACAGTACCACATTTTATATACGTTCTTCTATTCCCCTCTTATAGGAGGCAATAGAGCATAATTCATTCCTGTCAAGAGAAAAGAAAATAGAAAAAGGAAATGTTGAAGAAGGCTTTGAGATTGTTGACAAAATCCTGGAAGGTAAGCCACCACCAACCCTGGATGCAATCCTACTGCAAGGTAGATTCATGAAATGATACACCTGTCACTGAAATGTAGCACTGAACAGCATCTTTTTGCAGACCAGAAAAATTCCCTTAGATGAAAACCATAGCATTGGATATTGTTGCACCTCAGACAAAAAAAAACTCTTCCTATGTAAATCTTTCCTTTCTCTGAAGAAGTGTTTATTTCTGAATTTGGATTGTTTTGGGGTGTCCTAAATATAGTTTCTTCAGCATGGTCTCTGTGAAATATGCACCTGTGTTATTTCCTGCATCCACAGGATTCTACTGAAAAAAGCTTGCTCAGTTAATGGACTCTAGCCCTGCCCATCCCCACCAATGACATACTGAGATGGTGCATGCTGACCACAAATGGTCTCTTTACCACCTGCAGGCTCAGGCCCTCTTTCGCAAATGGTAAACCCCTCTTGTGGATCTCTTTGTGTCCCCCCTCAACACCAAATGCCTCTTCTTTGGTGCACGTCTCTCTCGCCATCAGCAGATTGGTTGTTTAGTAAATGCTTTCCTTCTGGATTGGACAATTAATATGTTGTTTGTTTTTCCACCCCTGCCACTCTTATCCAGGATGGTGGCATGTCTCCAAATGGAGTAGGTTGACTGCTTCCTTGTCACCTCATGGTGGCCACATAAGATATGGCTACATCTATAGCATTCCTTAGGGGTGTGGCACTGGATGACATCTGTCATGCAGCCATTTGGTTGACACTGCACACAATTATTTCCCACTACAAACTGGACTTGGCCACCAAGAAGCATGTGGCTTTTGGGAGAGCAATTCTTTTTTCTGCATTGGCATGATGCCCACCATCCGTGGGATAACTAGCTTGTCTACAACATGTGCATATTTCACAGAGGCCACACTGAAGAAAGTAAGGTTGCTTAACCGAAACCTTGTTTCTTCAAGTGGTCATCTGTGAAATTCGAACAACCCTCTCATCCTCCCTGCATTTTTCATGCTTTGGTTCATGGCTGCTGCTTTGTGGTACAGGAACTGAGAACCCAGGCCCCACTGTTTCATTATATCATTGCTGGGGATGGGCTGGAGTCCTTTAATTGAGCAAGCTTTTTCAGTAGAGTCTGAACAGCTGCATGCATGCGGGAAATACCACAGGTGCAAATTTCACAGATGACCACTCAAATAGACATGGTTACAGGTAAGCAACCTTTCCTATATATAGTTTATATTCATTTAACTATCAAGGCATAGATAAAATAAATGCAGTATTATAATCTGCACTTTTTTGAACAGGTGAAATTCATATTGGAGGCCAAGAACATTTTTACCTGGAAACAAATAGTATATTTGCTATTCCAAGAAAAGAGGATGAGGAAATGGATATTTATGTTTCTACACAGGATACTTCAGGTGCACAGGTGAGGTGACCCAAACCTTTGGCCCTCAATATGGAAAGGAAGTGCCATGGTTTCAGCAGGAATCATTGAATATTTTTTTCAAAGTGTTTAAGTTGGATGTTGTCAAAATGATTCAAATAATGACACGATTAATCATGACTAATTGCTGTAAATACAGTTACAAAACATTAAAGTTTTTTAAAATATCAAATCATAATATCATATGTTTGATTCACATAGTAGTATTAGAATTACTAAAGTCTAAGAATGGTAGACCGTTAGGGATGAAGTAGTCAAAGTCATAATTTCCATCATTTATCTGATGAAAGGGACTTGTGTCTGCATTTCTGGTACTATGATTCCACTTTACACAGTTCTAGTACCTCCTCATGCTTGCCACCAGAATTGCTGTGAATTGCTGTGGATCACGGAAATTGTGGCAGCACCTGCCCAGGGGAGCATAGGGACCTGTTGCCTCGTACCCCCACTCCGTCCCAGCTTCCCCTCTACCTCATCACATGGGAGGAAGCATCAGGCAGCTGGCTTGAGCCGCGGATCTCTATGGACAGATGGGATGCCTCCTGTTTTTCACCACCGGCTATTTTTTGGTGGCAGTGATGAGTGTCTAGCAGTTTTGCCACAGTTATCATCTGGGTTTGGTCCCCATGTTAGCTGCCCTTAGTTCCTTCGGAGAGATGGTGGCGGGATACAAAAATAAAGTTGTTGTTGTTGTTGTTGTTGTTGTTGTTGTTGTTGTTATCATCATCATTATCATTATTATCTGGCATTTCTCCATTGGTCTGTTGGAGCCACCGTGGTCTTTTCCTGAGGGTTTAACACTTAGCTTGTTACAAATTTGGATTAATTTTTGATTTGTATTAGCTCTTTGGGTGCATCCTTTCATATATAACATTATTTTCAAAAGGCAGATCCACTTATATTTGCAGCCAGAGTCACAAAGAACTCTTGTCATTGGTTTCCAATATCATTTCTTTCAATAGACTGTGCTGCCAAGTCTTGACTTCCATTTTTCTTTTCAAAATTTTTGTGTTTGTATAATATCAAAAAACTCTGTGGAATCCTTTTTCCTAGGAATTGGTGGCTTCAGTGTTAGATGTTCCAGCCAATCGGATCACATGCCACACAAGACGAATGGGAGGAGCTTTTGGAGGCAAAGGATTAAAAACTTCATGTTTTGCAGCAGCTGCAGCAGTAGCCGCCCATAAGTAAGTGCTGTCCTTCTTTATAGTCTCCCTAACCAACATAAAACAAAGGGTGGCAAATTGGCCTAATAGACCAAGAAGGATTCTCATCTATCACCAAGATTGGGAAAAGATTCAGTGGGCATTTCAGCATATCTTTGTAACTGGAATGGACGAGAGAGCCATTGTGTTGTTCACCTGAGCACTGCTTGGCCCTGTCTCACCCACCCTTAGACAGAACATTAATATTTTGTAACTCAAGGATATCCAGTTAGCAGCTACAATTTGATTTCCCAGCAGCTTATTTTGAAGCCTTTGTTTTGATTTAGAACTGGCCGTCCTGTCCGTTTTATCCTGGAGCGAGATGATGACATGCGAATCACTGGAGGTCGACATCCTTTCTGGGGAAAATACAAAGTAAGTAGTACTAATTCCACCAAGTCTTGTTTTATTGCATGAAAGTCTTCTCAGTATGGGCTGATGGCGAGCTAGAATTTGCATGTGTCCACTGCAAATTTTTATATTATTTCCCAAAAAGAATGAATTTGTTCCCCAAGTAATAATGATGCATGTACAAGATTCATTGTTTCTGTTAATAAGCTGTACAAGACCAATAGCAGTCCCCAGGCACTTTTCCAACTGCCCCCTACCCCCATGTGCTTGTTTTAATGTTTAATGCCTTTCTTAGTTTGACAAGAAGATGCCTGTAAGACTGTCTTCGCCCACATATGGCAAGTGTCTGGGCCCATGGAAGGTACTGTCAGAAGGATCAGCAGACACAGAGGCAATTTCCTGTGAAATTGCCTTGCCAAGAGCTTAACAACCATATTCTTATCATGATTTGATATAATAGCAAGTTCCGCTTTCCTCCTCTCTCTTTTCATTCTCTTGGAAGGACACTATTTTTGTGACATGGTACACCAAAAGATTCAACTTCAACTATTGTTAAATGCTTTGGGGCAAGCTGATGTCATATGCCGTTGGAACAAGGAATGCCACAGAAAAATATTTTTTCATCCAGTTGTTAATCTTTTAAAACCTGTAATAGAGAAAATAGAAGATGAAGAAATGACTGTGTCTCATGAGTACAATGTGCTAATGTGTTTTTAGGTGGGATTCATGACTGATGGTAAAATTAAAGCTGTTGATCTGGAATTCTACGTAAATGGTGGATGTACACTAGATGAGTCTGAATTGGTAAGTTTTTTTGCTTGAAAGCGGCATGAAACTGGGTTTCCTTTTAATACCTGATAGAAGAATAATTTATATATTTTAAATGGTTGCTGCTGTAATCATGTACAGCTTGAACACACTCTATAATATTGACAGGTTTTGGCATTTCTTTAGATGTAATGTGTGTGCAATCAGGTGTACACCTTAAATCAGGTGTACATAAAATGTGTCCCCTGCTCCCGGATGTTATTGGACTGCAGCCCCAGCCTAAAACCCCTTGTCTTTATCACTTTGGAACAGATGGAGCAAACATATACTAACAAGGACATCTTCACACGGGGCAAAATAGCCCCATTTTGCTGCTTTTCACCGGTGCCAGTATGAGGACTGCCGAGCATCATCAGACGATGCTCTGCAGGCCCCTTCCATATTCCTCCTAAAGTGGAGGGGAAGTGTCAGAAAGTGCTTTCTCCTTCACTGTGGGGAGGAAAGTGTTTTTTGGGTAGCTCCATCAGAGCTACCCGCACTTTCCTCCCCTTTTCCCCATATGATAGGGGAAAGGGTGGTAGGGCAACACGGGTTGCTGCCCTTTCTCCCATATGATGAGGGCAGGGACAGGGTGCCTATGCACCCTGTCCCATCCCCACCATATGATGGAGGAAAGAGGAAGGGCATGCGGGACACCACGAGGTACCTCCCCACACCTTCCCTTTCACCGGTGACTGCCAGTGCAACGGTACAACCCCCCCCCCCCCCAGGCCATGTGAAAGGTCCTTGTGGTCTGGCCACTGGTCTTCCTACCTCAGCAGTATCTACATCAGCTGGTAATAGCCCCTGAAGATTTCCAATGTAAGTACAAGATAATTCCTTTGTGGATTAGCATTGCTGAGGTGAGTTTTCAGGCTGAGGAAGTATAGATAAATATCTGCTCTTTCTCATGCATGGTTGATGGGCTGAGTTGGACTTGATAGGCCTCATAATTTTGGGAAACATAACCTCACTACAGTTATCTTGTTCTCTTATGGCCACATTGAAGCCCTTATATCCTTCCAGATGTTGCTGACAGTATCTCTTTTCATCCCCATGGCTAATTTGGCTGACTACAGCAGCCCCACAATATCTGGAGGTTCCCAATCCCTTCTCTGTAATCAGTGGAATAAGTAATAGGAAGGGCCAACACAGACATTAACCTCCTCATGATGTCATAACCAGCTGATGTGGAGGGGTTTGTGTCTAAGTGGACACACCATTCATCTACTTTCCTATTTTGTTTCTGAGTTTTTGTTTTGCAGATTCAGTAAGGCACAGAATGATTGACAAATTCGAAATTACTCTATTACTCGAATTTAATGCTCACTTTTTTTTGGCTAAATGACCTCTCTAGACTTAGGGTTCCTGTTAGATTCACGTCATAAAGTAATCTTTATGTTGAGCCAAAGCCAAAGAGGAAGCAGCTTCAGGAGCTGCACCTGGAGCTCCTCTTTGAAGGATGTCATCTTTCATTTAATTGTCATGGCTCAAGGCTATCAATATTTGTAGTTTGGTGAGATATTAGCATTCTTTGGCCTTGTAAAACTACAGCCTCCAGGATTCCATAGCTTTGGACCAATGCAGTTAAAGTGAATTCATTCTACAGCATAGATGCACCTTGAGGTTTTCCTTTCCACCACTGGAAGCTTTGGTGCTCTAACACTTCTCTTTTGAAAGAAAGAATCCTAAGCAGGCAGCAACTCTAATGTCCACTTTTTTTTTTTGCCAAATGACAAGTGCACTTTTTTCCACTGCATATTACATTCACCAGCAAATACGTTTTTTGGTTTCAGGGTTTTGGAAATTGAGGTGCGCATTAGATTAGATGGCACATTAGACTCAACTATATACTGGTAATTGCCTATTCCTGTATTTTAGGTTATTGAATATGTTTTGCTAAAATGTCCTAATGCATATGACATTCAAAACTTCCGATGCCGTGGCTGGGCCTGCAAAACTAATCTACACTCAAACACATCACTTCGAGGATTTGGATTTGCACAGGCAGGCCTTTCTACAGAGACCTGGATAGCGGCTGTGGCAGATTATCTTTACTTGCCACATGATGAGGTAAATACAGGAAGGGCATATGTTGGAGGACTGTAATGTTTATGACTATAGCTGTTCCTTATCTTGCCAAATCAATGTTTTCTAATTCATATTGTCAAAAAATATACATTGGTAGGCCTGAGAGTCTTAAATGCTCCCCTCCAGTCCACTCCCTATACACATTCGTCCCCTGGACAGCCTTACTATTAGTTGCCTTGCGGATTATAAAATGAAAAGATTTGAAAAGGGGACAATTAGTTTTTTGTTGTTTATTTGTTCAATTGCTTCTGACTCTTCATGACCTCATGGACCAGCCCATGCCAGAGCTCCCTGTCGGCCATGGCCACTCCAAGCTCCTTCAAGGTCAAGCCAGTCACTTCAAGGATACCATCCAGGCATGTAGCCCGGGGGGGGGGGGCTTGAGGGGCTTCAGCCCCCCGCCCCCTGAAATTCTCATGGTGGTCCGCGAGAAGGCCTTACTGGTACATTATTTAAACTGTTATGTTTATTCATATCATGATCTGATCACCATGCTCAATATATCCCATATGCATGGGGGTATTGGGGTAACGATACAAAAGGTTTGCTAGGGTAGACCCTCTTTCACTGAGACTCAGCCCCCCCCCCCCCGAATCAAACTCAGCTCCCCCCGAAACAAAATCCTGGCTATGGGCCTGATACCATCCATCCATCTTGTCCTTGGTTGACCCTTCTTCCTTTTTCCTTCCATTTTCCCCAGCATCATTATCTCCTCCAAGCTTTCCTATCTTCTCATTATGTGACCAAAGTACTTCATCTTTGCTGCTAATATCCTTCCTTCCAGTGAGCAGTCGGGCTTTATTTCCTGAAGTATGGACTGGTTTGATCTTCTCGCAGTCCAAGGCACTCTCAGAATTTTCCTCCAACACCACAGTTCAAAAGTGTCTACATTTCTTTGCTCAGCCTTCCTTATGGCCCATCTCTCGCATCCATAGGATACTACGGGGAATACCATTGCTTTAGCTGTCCGGATCTTTGTTGCCAGTGTGATGTCTCTACTCTTCACTATTTTATCAAGTTTGGTCATTGGTCTCCTCTCAAGAAATAAACATCTTCTGATTTCCTGGCTGCAGTCTGCATCTACAGTATTCTTCACTCCTGGAAATACAAAGTCTGTCACTGCCTCCACGTTTTCTCCCTCTATTTGCCAGTTATCAATCAGTCTGGTTACCATAATCTTGGGTTTTTAATGTTTAACTGCAACCCAGCTTTTGTGCTTTCTTCTTTCACCTTGATTAGAAGGCTCCTCCGCTCCTCCTCACTTTCGGCCATCAAAGTGGTATTATCCGTATATCTAAGGTTGTTAATGTTTCTTCCAGCAATTTTAACTCCAGCCTTGGATTAATCAAGCCTCACATATCACATTATATGTTTGGCATACAAGTTGAATATGTAGGATGAGAGTATATAGCTCTGCCATACTCTTGAACCAGTCTGCTGTTCCATGGTCGGTTCTGACCATTGCTGCCTGGTTGTTATACAGATTCTGCAGGGGACAGGCAAGGTCGCTTAGTATCCCAATACCACCAATAACTTGCCACAATTTATTATGTCAAAGGCTTTAGACACAGTCAAAGGCTTTAGACACAGTCAAAGGCTTTAGACACAGTCAATAAAACAGAAATAGATGTTTTTCTGAAACTCCCTGCCTTTCTCCGTTATCCAGCAGATATTGGCAACTTGGTCTCTCGTTCCTCTGCCTTTTCTAAACCCAGCTTGAACGTCTGGCAACTCTCGCTCCATGTATTGCTGGAGTCTTCCTTGCAGGATCTTGAGCATTGCCTTACTTGCATGTGAAATAAGAGCCACTGTACGAAAGTTTGAGCAGTCTTTAGCTTTTCCCTTTTTTAGTATGGGGATATAAGTTATTTTTTTTCTCAATCTGATGGCCATTCTTGTGTTTTCCATATTTGCTGGCAAATGGCAAGGATCACCTTGACAGCATCCTCTTTCAAGATTTTAAACAGTTCAGCTAGGATCCCATTGTCTCCTGCTGCCTTGTTATTAGCAATGCTTCTTAAGGCGCATTCAACCTCACTTCTCAGGATATCTGGTTCTAATTCATTCACCACACCATCAAAGCTATCCCCAATATTATTATCTTTCCTATACAGATCTTCTGTATAGTCTTGCCATATTCTCTTGATCTCTTCGGCTTATGTTAGGTCCCTGCCATCTTTGTCTTTTATCATATCCATTTCTGTCTCAAATTTACCTCCGATGTTTCTAATTTTCTGGAAGAGGTCTCTTGTCCTTCCTATTCTATTGATAATTAGTAAGTAACTAATTATTTCAAGGGATAATGCAAGAACTCTTAGTGTGTCAGTTCTGATGGCCATGGCCTCGTAGACTGAAAATAAAATCCAAATTACCTCATACCAGAAGACTATATGTTCTTTGAAATATTTATAGCATACCAAATAGCAATGAACCAACTTGTGGGAAAGATTTCCTTTCCTTCTTTGAAGGGCAAGTTTATTGTAACTAAGATGTTTCTCTAGAGCAGTGGTTCCCAACCTTTGGATCTCCAGGTGTTCTGGACTTCAATTCCCAGAAATCCCAGCTAGCTGTTAGGAATTGTGAAATAGGAAGTCCAAAACATCTGGAGAACCAAAAGATGGGGACCATTGCTCCAGAGAGAGAAACAATTGTCTTCTGTTTTCAAAGACTGTGCATGTGCTCCCTCTAGTGCTAAAACCTTGGGTCACAGGTAGTCAAGTCCCATATTTGTAGCTGCCACTTGGACTAAACTTTATTTATTTATTTGTTTGTTTGTTTGTTTGTTGCATTTGTTGACCGCCGTTCTCAGCCCTAGGGCGACTCACGGCGGTGTACAACATATAAAAGACAATTTACACTAAAGCAATAACAAAAAATCAACATATCACTAATACACTAATACACAATAATATAATTACACTAGAATAATCCGCTCCGTCTTATCGTAGAATCATAACCAGTCTCGTAATCCATATTCCGTTCCAGTTGTCATTACCAGTTAATGTAGCACTCAATTAAATGCCTTCTCAAATAGCCATGTCTTTAGGCTCTTACGGAAAGACATAAGGGAGGGCGCCTGTCTGATGTCAACAGGGAGGGTGTTCCACAGCCGGGGGGCCACCACCGAGAAGGCCCTCTCTCTCGTCCCCGCCAGATGTACCTGTGAAGCAGGCGGGATCGAGAGAAGGGCCTCCCCAGACGATCTCAAGGCCCTCGTGGGCTCATAGGCCGAGATGCGGTCCGAAAGGTATTTTGGGCCGGAACCGTTTAGGGCTTTGTAGGATAACACCAGCACCTTAAATTGGGCCCCGTAGCTGAAACCTGGGGATCCAGGCTCAACGATGAATCCAGGATCACACCCAAGCTGCGAACCTGCGCCTTCAAGGGGAGTGCAACCCCATCCAGCACAGGCTGTAACCCTATACCCTGTTCGGCCTTGCGACTGACCAGGAGTACCTCTGTCTTGTCTGGATTTAATTTCAGTTTGTTCGCCCTCATCCAGACCATTACAGCGGCCAGGCACCGGTTCAGGACCTCGACAGCCTCCTTAGTAGCAGGTGGAAAGGAGTGACAGAGTTGGACATCATCTGCGTACAGATGACACCGCACCCCGAAACTCCGGATGATCTCACCCAGCGGCTTCATGTAGATATTAAACAACATGGGGGACAATATAGAGCCCTGTGGAACCCCACAGGTCAAAGGCTGTGGTGTTGAACAGGAGTCCCCCAATAACACCTTCTGGGTACGGCCCTCCAGAAATGACTGGAGCCACTGCAGAGCAGTGCCCCCAAGACCCATTTCCGCAAGGCGCCCCAGAAGGATACCGTGGTCGACGGTATCGAAGGCCGCTGAGAGGTCCAGGAGCACCAACAGGGACACACTCCCCCTGTCTAGCTCCCGGCGCAGATCATCCACTAAGGCGACCAAGACCGTCTCGGTTCCATGTCCCGGTCTGAAACCAGACTGTGCTGAATCCAGATAATCCGTGTCTCTCAAGAATACCTGGAGTTGTGAGGCCACCACGCTTTCCATGACTTTGCCCAAGAAGGGGAGATTGGAAACAGGCCGAAAGTTGTCAAATTTAGTGGGGTCCAGTGATGGTTTCTTCAACAGCGGTTTTATAATTGCTTGTTTTAAGCACGCTGGAATCTTGCCTTCCCGAAGGGAGGCATTAACCACCACCGTTACCCACTCAGCCAATCCCCCTCTGGCCTCCTTAAGAAGCCAGGATGGGCAGGGGTCTAGGATGGACGTGGTGGGCCTCATTCCTCCAAGTATCTTGTCCACATCCTCGGGCTTCACAAATTGAAAATAATCCATCAAAATAGGACAAGCAGGTGCTCGTGTCACATCCTCAGAGACTGCATTTAACATGGTGTCCAGCCAGAACGGATCAAAGCGACTTTGTCTGCAAAGAACCGAGCAAATGCTTCGCAGCGCGTGACCGAATTGTCAGGGCTCCCGCCTGAGGTGGCGGGAGTTAAAAGACCTCTGACAATCCGGAACAACTCCGCCGGACGGTTTTTTGCAGACGCAATAGTGGCCGCAAAGAAAGTTTTCTTTGCGGCTTTTATTGCCGCGGCATATGCCCTTAGAAAGGACACAAACCGTGCTCGATTTGGCTCGCTTGGGTCCGAACGCCACACGCTCTCTAGTTCCCTCTTCCTTCGCTTCATCACTGCCAGCTCCTCAGTAAACCAAGGAGCTGGTTTAGCTCGGCTACTTGAGAGGGGACGTTCCAGAGCGATCATGTCAATTGCCCTGGTCATCTCCCCATTCCAGAGAGCGACCAAGGCCTCGACATGGTCACCTACCGAGGTGGCGGGAAAATCCCCAAGAGCCGTCAGGAATCCATTCGGATCCATAAGCCTCCTGGGGCGGACCATCTTAATGGGTCCTCCACCTTTGCGGAGGTTGGGGGGCGCAGTGAGCCTAAATCTGATCAGGAAGTGGTCGGTCCATGGCAACGGAGAGATGGACAACTCCTCCACACCGCCACCCTGCTCCCATCCCTGGCAGAAAACCAAGTCCAATGTATGTCCAGCACAGTGGGTGGGGCCAGATATTTGTTGGGACAGCCCCATGGTTGCCATGGCAGACATGAAGTCCTGAGCCGCTCCTGTGAGGGTCGCCTCGGCATGGATATTGAAGTCTCCCAGCACCAGAAGCCGTTGAGACTCCAACGCCAGGCTCGAGACTACCCCCGCTAGCTCAGGTAGGGAGACTGTAGTGCAGCGAGGTGGACGGTACACTAGCAGAATCCCTATTCTGTCCCGGTCACCCACCCTCAGGTGGACGCATTCAAAATTTGTGGTCTGCGGGATGGGACTCCTGGTCAGATGGATGGAATCTCTATAGACCACTGCGACCCCGCCTCCCCGTCCTCCGGATCTCGGTTGGTGCTGTACGGAGAAGCCTGGAGGACAAAGCTGGGTAAGATTTACGCCTCCAGCTTCATCCAGCCAGGTCTCCGTGATGCACGCCAGATCTGCCCGCTCATCCAGGATTAGATCCTGGATAAAGGTCGTTTTTCCGTTGACAGATCTGGCGTTCAACAGCACCACCTTCAATCCAGAGGGCCCGCTCACCTGGTTACACCAATTTACCTTAGGAGACCGGTTTGGGATTATTAATGTAGATAAGCGGTCCGAATTAGGCCGAATTTGAGGTCTCCTTTTTCCGCATCTCCCCCTCCCCACCACGACCTCTATGGGGGCCCCTCGGCTAGTGGAACACCTCCCCTCCTCCATGCCGCAGTCCAAAACCAAGGTCTTAATTTCTGTTTCGCTAGTTGTTTGGTTTGTTGGCCCTTGCCAACTCCCTTGCTTCCCTTTCTCCCCCCTCCCCGCCTCATTATTGTTCACAGGCTCCAGCCCACTTCCTCCCTTGCCCCTTCCACTGGTCAATAATAACAGGGACAATACAAATAGGGGGATGGGGAACCACATGGATAATAATAGCTTCAGATGGTGATAAGCGTTCCAGCCACGACAGTTAGATAGTTCATAAAGTGCAAGAGTCTTAAAGTGCAGCACAGTCAACAACACAACTGCGTGTCGTTGGGGTAAACTCATAAAGTGCAATGATCTTAAAGTGCAGCAATACCCAAATCTGGCTCTCAACGCTAACTAAAGTGCGGCATAGAGGGATAGGGAAGGGGGCGTAAGTGCTAGTACAGTTTAGCAGCAAATAGGCAGGCGCCTTAAAGTGCTATATTGCGTTCTTATACCAGATTAACAGCAAAAGGCAACCAAGGAACGTACTAAGTTAGTAATATGTAAACACACTATTAGGAGGGTGTCAGTGATAACAATCAAGTAAGGTGAATATGATTCAGGTGTAATCTCTGGACGGTTGATGTAGAAAATTTTTAACTTTCATAGTTAAAAATTGGTTTCAGTTGAACTAAAACCTAAATCTCTCTGGACTGGGGGCACCCAGGGCCAATTCATCTCTGGGAGAAGAGGGGTGAGAGGGAGTCAGAAATGTCATTATGGTGGGAACAAATATTGTTTCTGAAGTGCAGTGTTATTTGTGTAGTAAAACGTTCTGAAGTAGACACTGTGCACGTGTACACTGTGGTCCAACTTTAACTGTCATAGCAACATCCTATGGTGTGCCAATTAAGGGGAGGTGCCTTTGAAACCCCTGGCTAGAGCATGTTCTGCTGGGGACTCTGACCAAACTGCCCATTCCAAGATACCTTGGAAAACAGCCGTGGCAGTTAAAGTGGAATGCAAGCAGAGCCATTTTCATGTCTCTGATTTCTTTAATTGCTGAGTTCATACAGTCACAAGCAACTCCTGGTTAAAACATTCTCAAGTGCTTTATTTGTACAGGTTAATTTTAGGGCGGGACAAATTTTCATCACATGAGTGGAGGGAAAGTGCATGTGTCACGTGCCATATGCCCTCACCTGCAGGCTCTTTAAGGTTCCCAGCTTATGACAACACTGGCAGGGCTGGAACAGATTCAGCTGCCAATCCATGCCATAACTATCCTGTAGGAGCACAGTCTTGTACTTTACCCCAGGCCACAGAGTGTCCTGAGCCACCTTCAGCTGATCCTGGCATTGTTCTTCAAGCTGCTTCCCAACACCTTACAGTTCATGCCCCAGCTGCATATCATGGTGGCATTTCCTTGGCTCTCTGCTGTTCCACAGTTATTAAAGGTTCTCTTCTGATTCCAAAACTTCATGTAATAAGAAAAACCCTTTAATAACAGACCCAGCATGCTGTGGTGATTTGAACATCACACTAAGCTCTGGGAGACCAAGGTTCAGATCCCTGCTCAGCCCTGAAAACCTTTAGAGTGGTCAAGAGTAAAGACTGTAATAGGTCCACCTTGGAGGTGCCATACATCAAAAATGACTTCAAGACACAAAACTATAGCAAACCTAATATGTAGTAACTCGTTCTAGTGGTATTGGTAATTAATGTCTAGCACAGAAATATTCATCAAGATTTAAATTGTTTATTTATTACTTGGAACAAGAAACTGTATGTTATGTGTTTCCATTTAAGGTCAGAGAGATGAACATGTACAAAAAAGTGACTAAAACTCCCTACAAAGAAGAGATTGATCCCAGAAATCTGGTTGTGTGTTGGGAAGAATGTCTAGAAAAATCAGATTATTACAAAAGGCGACAAGCTGTAGAGGAATTTAACAAACAGAACTACTGGAAGAAGAAAGGGATCACAATCATTCCAATGAAGTTTTCTGTTGGATATAATGAAACATTTTACCACCAGGTAAGCTTTGATGTTCCAGAAACCTACACTTCTAAACTGTAAATCGGAATACTCATGAAAATAGAAGAAACAGATGGGGGTCAAACAACAATTTGGTATGTGAGGGAAAATTAACTTCACCTAAAGAAATGATACAGAGGGCAAAGATTAGTCCTTTCTCTCCTCTAACTACACAGTCCCCATCCAAAATTCTTCTCCTTTTCCTGCATTTATTTACAATTTTTACAAATAGAGATAGGAATGCCTGTATCACATTCTACCAGGATTTAATTTAATCAGTGACAGCTAAGTGATCTTAATTCCTATTTTTCTGTAGGCTTTTGCTCTGGTTCATATCTATCTTGACGGATCAGTGCTAGTGTCCCATGGCGGCTGTGAAATGGGACAAGGACTTTACACCAAGATGTTACAGGTAACAAATGACAAGAAATAGGATTATACTCACCTACAGTTGAAGAATAAATACAGTTTAATAAGTAGAACTCTGTTGTCTATTTACACTATATATATATATATATATATATATATATATATATATATATATATATGCTCTGTGCATAATGAGTACCTAAAAAACAAAAGAACCAATGAATAAAAGCACGCCAAATTTGGCAAGAAAATGTCTCACTACACAAGGAGTGACCATCACTCAAAAAATTATGATTTTGTCATTTGGGAGTTATAGTTGCTGGGATTTATAGTTCACCTATAATTAAAGAGCATTCGGAACTCCACCAACGATTGAATTGAACCAAACTTGGCTCACAGGCCTCCCATGACCAACAGAAAATACTAGCAGCGTTTGGTGGGCATTGACCTTGAGTTTGGGAGTTGTAGTTCATCTACGTCCAGAGAGCACTGTGGACTCAAGCAATGATGGATCTGGGCCAAACTTGGCACGAATATTCCATATGCCCAAATATGAACACAGATGGAGTTTGGGGGAAATAGACCTTTGCATTTGGGAGTTGTAGTTACTGGGATTTATAGTTCACCTACAATCAAAGAGCATTCTGAATGAACCCCACCAATGACAGAACTGGGGCAAACTTCCCGCACAGAACCCCCATGACCAACAGAAAATACTTAAGGCTATCCAATCCAATTCCCTTCACCAGGGCAAGAAAACATAATCAAAGCCCTCCTGACAGAGAGCCATCCAGCCATAGATATAGATAGATATGATTCACACACAGAGAGAGATAAAGTAGTATAGATTTGAAAGGGACTCCTAAAGATGGACAATTATATCTTGCATGTTCCAGAGTAGGCAAACCAGACAATCATCAAGAAATACTGTTTACTCACAAGCATAAAGACATTACATATATTAGAAACCAGCACTTTCTAATTACTTTATTTCCCATATCACCAGACTGGGCCACAGCAACGCGTGGCAGGGGACCGCTAGTGTGTATGTATGTGTGTGTGTGTATATATATATATATATATATATATTGCCTGCTGCTTTATATATTTGTGATTTAAATATTTTCTAACAAGTTTATTCCTAAATGTGCCTTAAATGCAATAATGTTATTTTCCTTCTGTTTATGGCTCTGTTGTGACTTTTGATAGAAATAATATTTGTGTTTCCTCAACCAAAAAAGGTTGCCAGCCATGAATTAAAAATACCTTTGTCGTATATACACAACTATGAAAGAACTACAACTACCATACCCAATGCAGTTGTCACCTCAGGATCAATAGGCACAGAAGTCAATGGAAAAGCAGTACAGGTTTGATGTTTATTTATGGCTATTGTTTCAGGACCTACTAATCTGTGAAGAGACTTAAGTCAGCTAACTTGTCCTACTGATTTGGGTGATTAAACATTTCCACGACAGCACCTCTATCCCTATCCATGAGAGGTGTTGGGAAGGGTATCTTGACAGCTTGTGGCATTCTGTTAAAAATATTCAAGTGCTGTAATTTTATTAGAAAGGGTTTTTTTTGTGAAAAAATGATTTTTATGCAGAAAACAATGTTTTGGAAGCAATTTATTTGTGCAAAAACCAGTGGATTTTTTGTATAAATATTTCCATTACACACACACACACGCACACACACACACACTTATTTACATTCACTGAAAAAGGTCCAGAAATGCTAATAATCTTATCTGCTAATGGAAAAGTAAGCAAAGATTTATATCCTACATATAGGATACATCCATGTGTATGCATCTAGCCATCAATCTAGGAAGTTAGATCTGTGGATAATAATAATAATAATAGTAATAGTAATAATAGTAATAATAATAGTAATAGTAATAGTAATAATAATACACTTTAGTTATATTCCGCCTTTCTCCCTAGGGGACTCAGAGCGGATTGCAGCATTTACATACATAGGGAAACATTCAGTGCCTTCACAATCATATACAATGAGACACACAAACACAAACAAAGGTAGAGGCTTTTGTCATTTTTGGCTTCTGGAGGCGGTGTTCATCTCTTGGCTCTGGTTAGGTACTCTCTCCATTTGCAAGCCGAGGAGCCTTCATTGTCATCTCCTGGTTGTGTGGCCGGCAAGATTGCTTGGAGCATCTCTTTGACTTTTCCTGCTGAAGCGGTACCTATTTATGTACTCACATTTGCACATTTTCAAACTGCTAGGTTGGCAGGAGCTGGAGCTGAACAATTGGAAGCTCACCCCATCGCATGGATTTGAACTGTTGACCTTCAGGTCAGCGATTCAGCAGCACAAAGGTTTAACCCATTGCGCCACCGTGGGTAGATGATATCCTATTTTAATTTAGGACATTCCACAATATCAGAGCAAGGATCACCATTCATTGGAGTAACACATACTTTCCATGCAGAAAATCTTAAGTACCAATCATTGCAATCTCCAGTTGAAAGGAGGAGGTAGCAATGTATGGGAGAGACCTTTTGAGCATCACTCTTGAGCACTAAGGCCAATCAGAACACAGAGAGTTGGACTACATGGAAAGATAGGCTGAACTGGTATAGGGCAGCTTCTTATGCTCCTAGTTGAAATATATATAGAGAGATAGATAGATAGATAGATAGATAGATAGATAGATAGATAGATAGATAGATATTTTAAGCAGATTTTTTTAAAGCTGATGTTAAGTCCTGATGTTAATTAATAAAATAACTGTTATATATAATTTTAAACACTTTTAATTTAAAATCCGTTGTTAAATCGTTATATTGTTTAATATGTTTTAGCTTATTTAAATGGTTTTTCTGTTTTTAATCTGTTTTAATCTGTTGTAAACCATTATGAGATTTCTTGATATCAGTGGGTTATAAATATTTTAACGAATAAATAAATATTATTTACTGATAGCTCTTTTATTTTGACATCTATTTCCACAGAATGCTTGCCAAATCCTCAGAAAGCGCTTGGAGCCAATAATGGAAAAAAATCCAGATGGAAAATGGGAGGACTGGGTAACTACAATATTTTTAAATGTTTTTTAAAAAGCCTGAGCCTGAGACTCTAATGAGTGGCCCTCTTCTCACAAGGCTTGAGTGGGTTTTATATATGGCTTCTTCGTGTATACTTGCCTTGCATGTACTGGCCAGTATCACCTACTGCACTGCTTCTTAAACTAGCTAAATGTTGGGCTTACAAAAAATTGTCGCCAGTTTAAACAAATCTGTTGGCAACAACTTGCAGTGTTTACAGTAGACTCTGTAGAAAATGCTTCATCTGTACTCCACATAAAGGAAAAACAGCCTATTTTGCAAGCCCTGCAAATACCGATTTATTAATAATAATAAAAATAACTTAATTTATATTTTGCGTTATCTGCCCAGAGGGACTCAGAGCAGATTACAGTACACATATAAGGCAAACACATTCAATACCTTTGAAACTTTGAATAACAACATACAAATCATAGATAAGGTAAAGGCCTTCCCCTTTTTCATTTCTGACGTCTGGAGACAATGCTCAAATCCGGCCATGGGGTGGTGCTCTTGTTCCATTTTCCATGCCGATCTTTTTGCGGGCATGACTGCATGTCTGCATGGGGCAACCTTTTATCTTCCCACCAAGGTGGCACCTATTGATCTACTCGTATTGCATGCTTCTGAACTTCTAGGTTGGCAGAAAGCTAGGACTGACAGTTCAAGAGCTCACCCTGACACGCAGCTTCAAACTGTTAACTATTCGGTCAGCAGCTTTTCCTGCAGCTAGCGGCTTTAACCACAGTGCTACTGCAGTCCCTAAGTTATCAATAAATGTTTGATTTTATACCTGTTTTATATACCGCTATACCTGGAGTCACAAAGAAAATATCAAATTGAAAGGAGTTGTGAGACCTTCACTATTGCATAACTTCCAGCTGCTGTTTAGATAGGAATAAAATACTTTGTAAAACTGTACAAAAAGAAGAGATATATTGTGTGATTAGGAAAATATGATTTGAATTTTTATGTGTGTGCGTGTGAATTAAGAGCAACAAATATTAACACATTCCAACATATTGTTTGTCTTTCTGCTTGACAGTAAAAAGGCAAGTGTCGTTTATTTCCAGAATAAAGGACGCTTAGCCCCAGCATTCAGAGACATTGTGTTGCCATTTCCCTTCTTAAAATCAGGATATGTATAAATGATAATGATAAAGCTTATCTGTGCGATACAGATGTAAAAAGTAGAGTTTGATGCTCTCCCTCACCGTTTTTTGCTTTTTTAATGTACAAATATATGGTTTTAGGCTTGACAGTAAAAATGCAATAAGTGTTAGGAATGCTGTTGAAACTAATGTGTCTCTTGCAGATAAAGGAGGCTTATGAAGGAAGCATCAGCCTCACAGCGACTGGTTACTTCAAGTAAGGAATTGATTCTTCTTTCCTGCATTGCTAGCTGTGGCAATGTCACAAATGCTGGACTAGGATTTTGTGATTTAAAGGAAATTGCAATATGCTTCCAATGTTCTTGCCATTGACCAAAAAAAGCCCAATTGCTATTGGATGTCTTTCTTTATTTCTAATCCTGCATCTATATATACATTTGGGGTTTTTGAAAAAATATGTTGAGTATGCACAAACACTTGTTCACACAAAAACATTTTCTGCAAAAAGTCCCCAAATCCAAACAGTAGTAAAAAAAATCAACATCTGAACCATTTCATGCCATGCACCAGGAAACCGTGTGTTGAATCACTGGATGCCCCCACATCGCTAACCTGTTCAGACTTATGGCAAAGTTGAATTCCAACTCTTCTTTTTTTTTCTCTCCCTACAGAGGCTATCGCACCAACATGGACTGGGAAAAAGGAGAAGGCCATGCATTTCCATACTTTGTTTTTGCAGCTGCTTGTTCTGAGGTTGAGATTGACTGCCTGACAGGTGACCACAAGGTAAAAAAAGGGAAGCTTTCCACTCCATTCCCTACTTCAGAGGCTGCTTGACATTCACTTTGTCTCTCTGCATGGCTTATTTATTGTGGTTACAGTCAATCACCACACTGTGGCACTATCTTTCCTTCATAGTGGGATAGCATGCCTTTGTGAAACAAGAGGCTATGCTGACAGGAGTAGTGCTGCTTTTTAGGAATCTAAAAGTGCTAATGGCATCATAGTTAGCACTTGAGTAGAAGGTATCCCTCCTCCCTCCCATGCTTAATCATGATTGGGGAGCCAGGCTTAGCACAGCAGCCTAAATTGCTGCGCTGCAGAAAAATCCTGCTAATCCAAAGTCAGTAGTTTGAGCCCGGGTCGGGGTGAGCACCCTCTGTTAGCCCCAGCTCACCTGGCTACGTAGCAGGTTGAAAGCAGATATGAAAGTAGACAAAATAGGTACCACTTTTAGCAGGGAGATAATAAAGACACTCTTAAAGACATTGATTGGAGGAAAGCTCCTCTGCAGGGAAGATGGAGCGACAGCACACCCCATCACCGGAGTCGAGCACAACCTCCAAGATACCAGAAATAAGATGGGGAAAACTGCCTTTACCTCTATTTGTGTTGTTTGTCCTTGTTAATTGTATAATAGACATTGAATGTTTGCCGTATGTGTGTTCTGTAAGCCGCTCTGATTCCCCTTTAGGATGGGAAGGGCGGGACATAAATAAAAAGGAAGAAAATGCATGGCCTGACTTACCGGGCCAGGGAAGTTGCGGTGTTGTGGTGTAGGGCGTCCCCCACCGCCATTCTTGCCTCAGGGGGGTTTCTTCCTCCCAGAAGCCTCCCTTGGGTGGCGGGAAAGTTTCCCGCCACTCTGCCAGGTAGCCAATGGCCAGCTGACCACACCTCACTTTCAGAGAGGCTGGAGCTGGCCTCCCCCTGGTGCGGGCAGCCTATATAAGGCTGCCCCAGGCACCCCAGCAGGCACTGGGCCTGCACCCACCCACCCTGCATGATGTTTATGTTTTCATTGACAGTTAGCTTTGTTTCTGTTTTAACCTTGTACTGGTTTCCTGTTAACAGTTACTTATTGTTATGCTTATTATCACAACTCTCTGTTGGCGTGGGGCATGGGCTCTGGATCTGGCTTGGTTTCCCCCCCTAGCGGAATGGGGGAACGTCTGGTGGTCCCAGGGGTGCCTAGTTTATGTTGGCCCAGTATTGTGCCGGCAGCACTCGGACACTTTGCGGTATCGGACAGCAGCAGGGTGCCCGATCTTGATCCAGGACCCATGCATGGCTGCCAACCCTTATTCCTGTTATCAATAAATGAGTTGTGGCCATTAACTAACCCAACAACATGTGTATGCGTATTTCTCTGGTTGATGGGGGGAGGTGTATCACCCTTGCACAAGCAACAGGAAAACCATGTTTACTGCCTTGAAGGGAAGACAAGATACACATGTTACAAAGAAGCAAATGAAATAATGTTTTTTTTACTATAAATGTGCTCATGACAGTTTATTTCTGCAACAGAACATCCGCACAGACATTGTCATGGATGCCTCTTTCAGCATCAATCCAGCTATAGACATAGGGCAGGTATGTAACCATGAGTTATGCATGCACACATTATACTCACTCTGAGCAAATAGCTCAATTTTCCTGAGAAATCAAAAAGCTATACTCCACTTGCATTTAATTCAGTATTTATTCCCAGAAGCCTTGAATCATAACCTCATTTTATATGTGAAGTAGGAAGCTTGGCCACTTTCTTGCCAAGAAAATAGCATTTCAGGAACAAGGGCAGCTTCAAGACAGTGTCAAAATACAGGACAAATAAGTGGGGCAAAAATTGTGGAACCTGACGCAAGCCCAGACCCAGACCTGTCAGTCCCAGTAAATGGTCCCACACAGTCATGACACCTTCATTTGTCATGGATTTTAGAAATCTGCAAGATGGACCGTGGGCATCCAGCAGAGTTTACTTTTTTATTGACGCTCCAGGATGTGCTGGACCTCATATGCGCTCATGCAAATATCTAAAAGTACACACTAGCAGATTTCTTATTTTCTCTCCTCACCTTATTGTAAAATCAAGCTGTGTTTAATTTCATAAAGATCAGAACAAAGGAATGCTTGCAGAGAGTTCTTGTTGCTTTCCAATTGTGCTTCCATTTAGCTACTTGTGTGTCCATGGCTCCATTTATTTACAGCCCAGATCATTTTGATTTTTTTTCCAGATTTTGAAATACTTGTATTTGTGTGTGTGTATATACACACACACATGAACTGAGTGAATGAAGAACAAAAGGGAATGGGAGCTAGTCATGAGTACCTGCTGAGTTTTTCCTCAAGGAGCCACTATCAGAAATTCAATGGGGAAAAGAGAAAAGGAGGAAGGGGTGGAGGAGGACTCTGCTTGCACAAGACCCCTGTTAAAATTAGATATCTCAGATGCGTACTGGCTGTCAAGATACAGTTGTGCCCTTTTAACAAAGTAGCGAGTAAGAATGGAAGAAATTATTCCCTGCTGCACTGCCACTCTCCTCTGAGTCTTTTTCATTCTTTACATCCATTTAGGATGGATATGGACAGGGACTTATGGGATCACTCTGTGCTTGCCTTTGTGACACATTTCCAGGGCGTACCCCCTGTCCCACTGCACTGTTGGCCAGATTGAAGGCAAGCATGGAGGCATCTAGGAAGGATTAGCTTAATAGTGCAACCCATGTATTTCTGGGTATCTGGATATCTAAAGAAACAAACCATAGACCAAAATCAATTGTTTTTAGCCACTTAAGTGCCAATAGAAGCAATCGGAAAATATGAGCCAGTGCACTGGGACATCCATGCGAAGCCATAGGGCCTGGTTTACCATTAAAGCTGAATGCTTCCAATGAAATATGTTTGCAAATATATATGGGACAACAGCCTAAGTAGTAATTATAAAGTTTTGATGTCCTAGTAAAATTATATTAGAAAAAAGAGAATTAAGACTTTTTTCCCTCTTAGATCGAAGGTGGATTTATTCAAGGACTTGGACTTTACACCATGGAAGAATTGAAGTTTTCTCCTGAAGGAGAGCTGTACACACTGGGTCCAGATACATATAAAATTCCTGCTGTCTGCGATGTCCCGGAACACTTTAGAATCTACTTGCTGCCAAATTCCAGAAACCCAATTGCAATCTACTCCTCCAAGGTAAAGAATCCCTGCCCAGAAATTTTAAGGGCCTAAACTCAAATGATTGCACATTTTGAAGTAATACATTTCCCCCTCTTTTTCCTATGTGTCTCCTATCTTCCTACAGGGTATGGGAGAAGCTGGAGTGTTCCTCGGATCCTCTGTATTTTTTGCTATAAGGGATGCAGTGGCTGCTGCCCGGAAAGAGCGAGGACTAAATCGCAATTTCACCCTGAACAGCCCTCTGAATGTAGAGAGGATTCGCATGGCCTGTGCTGATCGCTTTACTGAGATGGTAAAAACTTTCTCTTACAAAAATCCTTTCTCAATTATTTTTGCTTTATTTAATTTCTCTAATATTTATTGATTTTATCTATACACTTTACTTATACGGGACTCAAGACAGCTTACAATCCCATACTTCGATCATAGTTTCAAAAGTGCAGTACAAAAATTAAAAAACAATTAAATAATACAGCATAGATTAAGGTAAAAAAGTAAAATGAAATAAAATAGCCTTTAAAACTCACAACCTCCACCCCCGCCCCAAATCCCCCACATACTTCCCCAGCAGCATGTCCCTTATCCTTCCCTAAATGCCTGCTGGACAGGTTAAAAATCAAGTTTCAAGAGATGTGTATGGAAATACTTCAAATTCACTTGCAAATACTCTTCCCTGTCTGTTTCTGGGGCATTTCTTGTGCTTATTTTTTCAGGCCTCCTACCAGTCACTGGTGTATGCTATAAATATATGCGGCATAAGATTGCTGAATGTTCTGCAGCAGATAATTGTATGCCTTAACATGCAACCATGCTTTAAGACAATCTCCCTTTTTCTTTCCTCTTTAGATTCCAAGGGACATTCCTGGGACCTTTGAGCCATGGGAGATCCAAGTGGACTAGTGCTCTGTGTTTCAGTCTCAAAACGTGTGAGGTTATTGTTTTACTCTGAACTAGATCCCATTGGTTCCTGCACACACACCAAAAAAAAAAAACCTGTGCATAGGATTGCATCTTTAGTAAGCTATTGATTCCATGTATGAAGAATCAAAACAATCTTCCTTATACTAGTGATTTGAACTGTGGTTTAAATAATTCAAATTGAATTCTTCAGGAAACCTTTACTGCAATGACATTATACATTACTAGGAATATATTTTACTGAAAACCATAAAACTGTGGGGTGGGAGGGGGAACCAATGAACAAGATAGTTATTAAGTAGGTGCAGGTGAGGCAGAGATAAAGGTAACACTGCCTGATATATTTCAGAGTGCATTTTTTGTATGTTAGGCTGTACAATTTAACAAACGACTAACCAAGGGAGAGAGTTCTGGATTTTGGTGGAAAATCAAAACATTCTGCAGAAACACTATTTTTTGCCTTTGGTTATTCATGTCTGGGTCTCTGATGTCCAAATTATCTCTAATTGCAGTAAACACAGGTTCCATCACTAGAGCAAATGGCAACTATGATAATGGACAACCTTAATAATAATAATAATAATAATAATAATAATAATAATAATAATAATTTAACCCTGCCACCATCTCCCCAATGGGGACTCAGGGCGGCTTACATGAGGCCAACAACACAATACAATAAAATAAAATCAAAGCACAAAACAACAGCATAATAAAATACATAAAACATAAAATACAATAAGCAATATAAAATTACAATAAATCCTTCACAATCACAGTGACGGTGAGTGGGCCTGTCACACATCAGAGCAGATTCACCTTGCTGAAAACACCAAACTGCATACAACCAGAAGTCTTTATAGTTTATTTAAAAAATGGTAAAAAGTTCTTAAAAGCAAAGGTAATGTTCCAAAAGATCAATATAAAATAGCATTTTGAAGATTAATCCAAAAAGGCACCAGCAAAGCAAAAACCCAAGAGAACATGACAAAGTCCTGAAAACATGAACACAAGAATTGTAAGATAATCCAGACAAGCAAAAGCAAATTCTTGGTTAAACGAAAAGTTGCTTTGACAAAGATTTGGTCTCAAACACACTGCTTAATATCCTTTGCAAAACATGAAGGCGTTTCTTTGGCCTCTGGCCTCCTTCTTGTTAGCTATTCTCACACTCCTTCGAACTTTGAATTCCAAACGGTCAGCCCGATCTAAGGTTCCCATTTCGTCAAGGTCAGTCTGTTTGTTAGTGTCAGCCTGTTTCCCTGCTTGCTCATTGTCAGGCTGAGAACTGTCCAATGGCTTCAAACTACAAGAGAGGAGATTCCATCTGAACATTAGGAAGAACTTCCTGACTGTGAGAGCCGTTCAGCAGTGGAACTCTCTGCCCCGGAGTGTGGTGGAGGCTCCTTCTTTGGAAGCTTTTAAGCAGAGGCTGGATGGCCATTTGTCAGGGGTGATTTGAATGCAATATTCCTGCTTCTTGGCAGGGGGTTGGACTGGATGGCCCTTGAGGTCTCTTCCAACTCTTTGATTCTATGATTCTATGATTCTATGATTCTCTGAATCAATCTGCACCTGGCTGTTTTCAATATCACTCTCATTCCTTGCTGTGGGAAACTACACTTCTTCACTGTCTATAACAGGGACGTCTATAACAGGGACATTTTGAACCAGACTGTGAACCTGAGTTCCATCATCCTCATCAGAGACACTCTGTGGTTCCAGCTGAGTCACAACAGGGCCGCATGTACAGGATAAAATACTAAAGGCTAAAAACTCGGGGTGAGATAGAGATGGAGCAGATTGTTTGTGGGGGAGAAACTCATAAAAATGGGGTCATGAAAAGGACCTTCATACAGGAGGGGGGAAGTATACTATAGAGACAAACGTTGAGGGGAAGCGGCAATATAGGATTGTATGGTTACTCTCCAAAATGCAACGGAAAAGCCAGGTTTTGAGATCCTTGTTGAAGCTTTCTAAGGTGGGGGCTTGCCTAATCTCACCAGGCAATGAGTTCCAGAGTTGGGGGACACAAATCTTACTCTTGGATCATTTATAGAGATTATCTAATGTTCTTATGAACTTGTTCATACTTCTTTAGACTGCAAATAAATAATTACATTCTACCCTGTTGAACGCTTTTAAGGCAAGTGGCAGACCCATTACACTGCCTTCCGCCAACTCCTACAGACTGAAACCAATGCTGAGCCCAGCAGGATCCCTTCTAGTTCCCTCCATTCACAGTCCATTCCCACTTCTCCAGTGTGCTCTAATTCCAGTTGCCACTCATCCACCTAAATTTGGTCATTCTCACCATACTCTCTTCTTTATACTTCCTTTGACTGTAGCTCAAAACGCAAAAAGACCTCATCGGACAGAGGACCTCAAGCCGGGGCAAATCCAGCTTCGCATCCAGCATCGCCCCCTTACCCATCACATAGGGGGAAGCTTCGTTGCCCAGCTTGTCCTCAGGATTTCATTGTAGGATGCTTTCAGGACACTGGGAGGATGGAGTCCCACCAGAAGTAGCCCTGAATCATATGGTGGGCTCAGCCCGGCTCTGTTCTCCCAGCATCCTGGAAGAATCCTAGGATGCTGGAAAAGTACAATGTGATGAGGTCCTTAGTACTATCATGAGTGCCTATAAACTATGTAGAAGAAGGCTCAGTCTAAATCTCCTGAAATTCTTTGGTAATATCTGGGATTGTCATTTTAGAGTCTTTTGAGTGATCTAACAGAAGAAATGAATTTATGTCCTGTCCTCTTTCAGCCATTTTACCAAAAAGTTTAGAATTTTTGTTAGTTTCATTAAAATATGCATTTGTGTACTGTTTAAATTTGTGTAACTCCAATTCCTCTAGTCTTGTCTTTTATTTGAAACAAGTAGTTAGATTCTGGTTCAATTTATGTGAGGGGGTTAGTTGTGGTATTTTGTTTAATCAGCTTTTCTGCCTCAATTTATTTTCCTTTTGAAATCGTCCTCTATAAAGAATTTTTCTTTTCTTTTCTTTTCTGCCTCAATTTATTTTCCTTTTGAAATCATCCTCTATAAAGAAGCCTCACTCACACACCTTCTATGTATCCATTAAAGAATTTTTGTACAATTAGAGGAACTATTGTCTGCATTTTAAATAAAATTATCATTAATGAAGCTCCTAAATAGTTTGTCTAAATTAATTTAAGACTAAACTTTCAGATCGTTGGCAATTGTGATGTTGTGTAAGGACCTAGCTAGACAGAGTAGACCAGAGGTTCCCAAAGTGTGCTCCGTGGAGCTCTTGGGACTCTGTAGTCAACATGCTGCTTCCCTACTCCTCCTCTTTTCTCCATATCCTGCTCCCCGGGCCAGCAGAAGGGCTGCACCACTGTGCTGCTTCCCTCTTTTCCTCTTCTCTAGGCTGTTGGATATGTGGCACATCCAATGGACAGCCACCCCGGGTGTGTCCCTAGGAGCACATTAAATGGCAGGAGCAGGTCACTGCGGAAAAGCAAAAAAGCTGAGCTCAGAAATTGTGAACAGAGATCACAGGAGCAAAGCTAGGAGCCATCAAGCCAAGCGAATCAGTCAGGCAATAAATGTGTTTGAAAGGCAGAATAAATTTTAAAAGGAGAGAGGGGAGGTTGGAAGAAAACTGAGCCGGACCTTCGTTAGCCAGGGGAGCAATAATACTGAGGGCGCTTTGGGTATTAAAAGAATACATGGCAAGGAGGAAGATTTCAGGGAATCTCCCCTAAAACCCCAAAGGAATGCAGGGAGATTCAAGTTTGGAGCTGCCAAACCGTTCTCTGCCTACAGCCCTCCCCCATTGCATCTATTGCATTGGCTGTCAGATTAGGTGGTTGGTTGCATTTTATTTTTAAACTCCACTGGATTGGCCACATTGTCCAAATGCCTAATCACCATCTCCCAAAGCAGTTACTATTCAAGAACAGGAAACGGAATGTTGGTGGACAGGAAAAGAGATTTAAAGATGGGCTTAAAGCCAACCTTAAAAACGGTGGCATAAACAAAATTGGGAAGCCTTGGTCCTTGAGTACTCTAACTGGAGGTCAGCTGTGACCAGCAGTGCTGCAGAATTTGAAGAGGCGGGAATGGTGGGAGAAATGTGCCAAGAGGAAGGCGTGTCAAGCCAACTGGGATCGCCTTCCACCTGGAAACCGATGTCCTCACTACATGTGGAGCAAGAATAGGGCTCCACAACCACCTATGGACACACTACCAAGACACTACACTTGGAGGACCATCATCCTCGGGCTACAAGGGATCGCCTAAGATTTTTAATAAGATCATTCCATCCCTTTTTAAAAAGTCTGGAGAGAGTATACTCATTGGTTCTTCTGGCAGCCATTTCTCCCTCCTGCTCCAACCAGAAAGCCAAACCAAGGACAATCTTGAAAGAGACCTTAGCCCCGAGATTTTTGCTGCTGCTGCCACTACTGCCTCTTCCTCTTCCCCTTCCTCCTTCTCCTCCTCTTGTTAGCTGCTAAACTTTTGTTGAAATGGAACTGTGGCTCATGTGTAAGACATGAGAGGCATCCACCATCAACCACTGCTCAGTCAAAGAGGAATAAAAAGAGCTGTAAGCTTATTTTCGAAGAAGATGATGCAAATTCCTTGGGCTTGAGTTTGGAAAATGCTGCACATGATCCTGCTTCAGAGTCAACGATGCCTCGTGAAGAGGTACCAAAAGGAAGTAAAACACAAAAGTATTATGATTGATATTTGAACATGGGATTCACTGAGTTTGCTGATGGACACATCCACAGTCTGTGATATGTCACAAAGTTTTGCCCAAAAGTTCTGTGTTCCCTGCCAAGCTTCAATGGCATTTCGAAACTCATCCTGACTTCATAAATAAAACCACAAACTATTTCAAAAGAAACCGTGGCAAACTCCATGAAGTTCAGACAGAATATATATCTCATGCAAAAACAAATACAGAGAATTCACAGAAAATATCGTACTTGGTGATTAGTCATGACCTGGTTCTTGCTGGTAAACCTCACATCCTTGCTGAAACTCTTATAAAACTACCATTAGTGAAGATAGCCCAGAGACAGG